CGCCTAAGCCCCCAAGGGCTCTGTGCTCAAACGGCTTAAGGAAATACAAGCCATGCCAGAAAGTGTAATCTGGAAGCCTGATCAACTATTCACTACCATCATTTCTTCTTGCATCTGCAATGTGTCTTATGTCCCCCAAGCTTTATTCTAAACGTATGAAGGCCCCCAAATCACATGGACTCCTGGGGCTTGATTGTTGATAGCTCAGCTCAGGTCTTCTAATCCGACGCAGTCGGTATGCTGCACAACGAACAGCATCTGGTCCCAGACAGATGAAGAAAACCCTAAGCCCTGGACCCCTAGAAAGAGCTAGGGCACCTTAAGAAAGGGGTGTAGGCCTGTTGTGGCAGGCTCAAGACCTGCTCCGCGCGGAGTTGAGAAAGAGCCAGTGCACCTTAGAAAAAAAACCCTAAACCCTAAGGACTTCTAGCTGTGCCCAGTCGGAAAAGAGCCCATAAAACAGAAACAAAAAGGCCCTAAGCCCTGAGGGTTTGAACGCCGGGCGAAGGCTTTGGGGTGTCGTGTTACGGCTGATGAGATAAATCCTGCATTACTCATTAGGAATATGCCATAATTCCCATCGTCTAGGGTCGTTAAGGTAATGCAGGATTTATGTCATCAACCGTAGGACTTGTTTAGCCAGGCTACTGGAGGTGATCCCAGTCTTGAACCCTCGACCCGAAACCTTGGAGACAGGGCTGGCAGAGATTAGGAAGGAGGTCCAACAAAAACAAACTGTACACCCTAAACCCTAAACCTGAACCCTTAAACCCGAAGCCTTCACGCCGTGTGCGGCCTGAGTGGCACTTGGCACGCAAACCTGCGATTCCGAAGCCCTGAAAATCGAAGCTGAAACCTCGAAATCCCTGAAATCAGACGGAAGCAGGAATCCAGGACGCGGTTCGGGGTCTCATGACGGATTGCCGGGAGTTCCTCGACGAGAGCGAGACTTGGCTTTCACAAGGCTTTCTTTGCCGGGGCCTAATGCAGCAGCCTGAATAGTTGCCGATGTTGTTCCTTCGGGTTCCTCAGGTGTAGGGGTTTAGGGTTTAGGGGTTTAGGGGTTTAGAGATTAGGGGTTAGGGTTTTAGGGCGAAGTTTTAAGTGTCGGTGCTTTGGGCTACGATCGGATCCTTGGGGTCGCAGTTCAGAGCCCCACTAGGAGGTTCATGGGTAGTTATAAGGGTCCCTTTAAAGGGATCTATAGGGATTCTATGAGGGTATACGGTTTAGGGTCTACTTCGAGGTTAAAGGGTAGTTATAAGTGGGTTAGAATTAGGGTAACCATGGTTATAACCCCGATTAGGGGACTTCTAACCCCATCTATAACTACCCATGAACCTCCAAGTAGGGGCTTGGGTGGAAGGCTTGGGCCTGGGAAGCCTTCTCAAGGGGTCTCTTAAACATCCCAGTAGATCCCCTAATTTGGGAGGATCCAGCAAGTAGACTTAGTAGGGTTCCTGAAAGGGCTCCTTTAAGGCATCCTTTGGGGTTTAGGGTTTAGGGATCTAAAAGGGAAAGTAGATCCCCTAATTTGGGGCCCTAGACTACTAAGGGTACTTTATAGGAACCTCCATTAAGGGATCTACTTTTTGGATCCTCCCGGGGTTTGGGATCGAGAGTTCGTAGTAAAACTATTTGCTTAGAGTCCCCACATACATGTGGGTGGTTGTCAAAATTAGGCGTCCTTTTTGGTTCCTTAATATAATACGGCACCTATTATTTAGGGTGCCCAAAAAGGGACCATAATTTTGACGACCACCCATATGGTAAAGTTTTTCCCAGCACCAAGTCCCGGAAGCCCCAAAACCACCCTAAGCCCTAAACACCTGAACCCTAAACCATGAACCCCAGGACCTGCAGAACAATGACCGCAACTTTGAGATAGCCGTGGCGAGTCGCTCGGCCTGCGTGCACGAGTCTTCGGGCTTAGGGTTTAGTGTTTGGGCTCTGGCCTCGACAATTACCTATACTATTTTGGAGTCCTTCTTATATTTGTAGTATAATGGGCCCCAAAATCGCCTGTATTAGGCTCTGTGGGAGCTTCGGTTGAGCGTCAGGGCGCAGCAGGTCCCGGCAATGCCAAGGGTTTAGTTTAGTTTATTCGGGTTTACGGTTGGAGTTTATTTCCGACAGCTTTTGAAAATCTGGCCAGGTTTGCGCAGCAATGGTTGTCGGGCTCTGATCTCCGGGCTTACGTAGAGTACTTAAGCAGTAATGTAACGGCGTGAATAATTAGCATGCATCAACTTCCCCCTTACAGGCCTTTCATAGTCACACTGCTCTACACCCCAGAACCGTATTCGAATTACCCACAGGCCTGTGGACTCGGGGGGTTGCGGTGTGCATGGGCAGGTGACGATGGCGATTATGATTCCTGCGATGATGCTGATTACATTGACGATGATGCCGAGGATGATGGTGTTGAACCCTAAACCCTAAACCGATGGTGAGGGTGATGATATGGAGGTGGTGCTGGTAACCTTGATGGCGACGCTGCTGCTGACGTTGCTGACGTTGCTGCTGCTGCTGCTGCTGCTGCTGCTGCTGCTGACGATGACGATGATAGTGATGATGACGGTGGTCATGATGATGATGACTGTAATGATGATGCCACCAGCTCCTTCGACGTCAGCAACGACGACTGCTACTGCTACGGCTGCTACTACTACTGCTGCTGCTGCTGCTGCTACTGCTACTGCTACTGCGCTGCTACTGCTGCTGCTCCTGCTCCTGCTCCGGCTCCTGCTCCGGCTCCTGCTCCTGCTACTGCTACTGCTACTCGGTGCGGCTACTGCTACTTGCTGCTGCGACTGCTACTCGCTGCTGCTGCCGCTCCTGCTGTCCTGCTACTACTACTGGCCTACGACTACTCCTGCTGGTGGTGTTGCTGCTGCTGCTGCTCTCTCCAAGGACAAGTCAACAGGACCACTGAAAGCCTTTACCCGAAAACCGTTCCTTTGATTAGTAGGGAATGGAAGAATGGTGGAAATAGTAGTTATAATTGTACCCCATTCCTCCATTCCCTACTAACCAAAGGTAGGTTTACCCGAAAACTCGAGCATTCAGGCTGCGAAAGCCAACTCGAGGACTGGGTTGTAACTTGTTTTGTCTTTTCCACATTCGCCCGTGCTTCCAATCTTTACCTAGACTTTGGGGTCACATTGTGGGGCTCTTGCGTTGAGAGCACAGAGTCATTACGTAACTGGACACAGGGCCCGGTGTGCATCTTTGACTAACATCGCGTCCCCACCCCGGCCGCCCGTCTGGGCACGCTGGGCCAACCGCAAGATCCACCATTGTGGCGTTCTCCTCTGGCCACGGTGCCTTTTTCATTTTATGCCTTTCAGCTTTTCGAAGTCACGATGACTGTGCTGTGTTCGTAGTCGTAGTGCTCGTGCCACGCCATGGTACGCATATTGGACGCGCGTGAATTTTTGTATTGTATAAACCCTAAACCCCAAACCCTTCGTTTGACTTCGGGGCCGCTATTTCCATTCGCTCCTTGTTTTCAGTGTTGGTGTCACAGCCAACGCTTACGCTTTGCTGGAGCTGCCGGGGCAGAGGAATGGTTTCCAAGTGGCAGATTTGGGGTCAGTGTGCAAATTTGAAGTTCCAGCATTGTGAAGAAGCAAAACATCTTCTAGCACCCTACGATAGGCCCTAAACCCTAAACCCTAAACCCTGAACCCTAAACCCTAAACCCTAAACCCTAAACCCTGTTAACGTACATAGTTGAGGCTCCCTTGAGCGATCCCGGCCCTCAACCTTCGACCCCAAAGTGTCAAAAGCCATGAACCTGAAGCCTAGGTTCCTGAGTGGTACCCTTTTGCCCTTTTTGTTTTTGGGTTCCCTTCTCAAAACCGAATAGATAGTAGGAAAAAGGGTGCCCTTATAATAAAGGGGCGACTCAGGAACTTAGAAGCTCACAGGAGTGGCAGCAGCTGCTTTCCGCCGCAAAAGCGACGGAGAATCGTGCAGAGAGCAACCGGGACCTTCGGTTGCACAATCAGTTTGCCTTGGCCTAGGGCTGAGGGTGTAGCTTAGGGTGTAGGTGTTAATTTTTGTAGTTTAGGTTTTTGGGATTTGGCTTGGGATTTAGGGTTGGACGCTGCAGCTACTTGCAGTTTTTGTGGTCATTATCGTGTCATGACCATCATGATCATCACCAGCGTGTTTTTTCATCCATAAACCTAGTAAGTGCTGGAGTCCTTGACCAGTTTAGCATTAGACCCTAGCACCTCAATGGCTCCACCCCCCGAAAGCCCGAGCCCGAATCAACCGAGAGTCTTAATTCCGCGTAGCAGCCGGTTTAGGGTTTAGGGTTAATGTACTGTAATGTACCGCCATGCACGGTAAAGTACTGTCATGTAAACGTGATGGAGTGTAAGGCACTTGTGACGTACTGTGCCGTACTGTACGGTATTGGCATTGGAGCGTAACGTAATGCAATGTAGTGACAATGTAATGTATGAATGCAAGTATGTATGTACATGCCGGATGTATGTATGTACATATGTATACATGTATGTCTGTATGTCTCTGCATACTTGCATGATGACGCATGATTGTGTATGTATGTACAAGTACATAAGCAGACACATGAATGTGCTGGTTGCAGGGTGCTGGGCAAGTACTCCAGCACAGGTTATGTCATGTCGTGACCACCTGCAGTTTTAATGTAGGAACCTGATTAAGAAACCCTGGGCCTATAACCCCAAAATAGTAGGGGTAATATAAGGAGCCCTAATAAAGGCCAAGGTTTCTTAATCAGGTTCCTGCATAGAGGGCATGCAGCGGATAAGGTTGGCTTTTCCGGCCAAGCAGTTGAAGTTGGGTTTCAGCTTGTGAAGGCCCAGCCTGTGAAGGCCACCGGCTTTGAACAAAATCAAGCAATGGTTTAGCCACGTGCTCATACACTTCCGCGAAGCAATCCGAGACCGTTTGGGCTCACACGCTGGTGACGCAGACGCATCAGTCCTGTCGCAAAGAGGGCCGCCATGGCAGCCCCGCAAGTGCAGGTGATGGGGAAAGGCGGTGGTGAGGTGGTGCAAGGCAAAGATGACAGCTCGGCGTTTTCCGGTTGCTGGTACTGCTGCGGAGGTCTTCATTGTGAGTGCAACCGACCCAACGGGGATGATGCTTTCATCAATTTCATGTGCCAGCTGCCTGTGCCATTCCCAATCTGCAGGTGCTTCAGCAAGGACGCGCAGCCCGGCAAGTGGCGCTCCTGCACGGACGGCAAAGGCAACTACGAGGTATGGCAGTTCTTGGACGCCAACACCATTGAAGCCCAAGGCAAGAATGAATGCTGCGGGGACTCTTGCAAGTACAAGCTGCACCGATGCTGCGGCAAGAAGTGAGAGTCCATGCGCTGAGGCTGCCGCGAAGGGAAGAGAAGAGAGGCACTCTAGCAGCCACTCGTTTCACTGCCGCTGCACTTTTGCATGTAGGACTCAAATGGGTTGGTGGTCTAGTAAGCTCTGTTTTATAGGGGTATATACTCGGGGTTCCTGATAGGGTATCTAGGCGCTATATGAGGTATAGGGGTAAGAGATAAAGAGGCCACCTGCCGAATTCTGTCCAACGTTCCTGATTAATCCTGATTAAACCCAGTCAAGAATTGTTTGAAGAAAGGCAAAGCTCAAACTCTTGCATTGTCTTTCACCGCACACGCGCTGCAAAATTGTGGAGCATGGGCTTGGCGACTTCACGAGCGATCCGACATGTGGAGGGGGAGAAGCTCTCACGCCTTCTGGGGCCATAGCTTGATCCCTGAGTGCAGGCCCTGAGCCTCAAATAAAGATCCTTGAGCCGCTTCCCAGAGACTCCAATATCCCTGAATTAAGGAATATTCCTTAAATCATATTAGGGATCCTACTATAAGTTAAGGTATATTCCTTAATCAAGGGTTATTGGAGTCTCTTGCTTCCTTGCATGAAAGCGTCAATCTGTTGCTGACTGTTGCAGCCCTGCAACTTCAACGGGAACCCCAAGTCCTGGGGCCGAAACCAGGGGCCATTCCAATCCTAAATCCCTTTGAACCCCAAACCCGAACTACTCCTATCCTAAATCCTAAAGTCTAAACCCTGAACTCTGAACCGCTCCTAAGCTAAATCCCAAACTCGAAACCCTGAACTCTGAACCGCTCCTACCACTCCAATCCTAAATCCTAAGCTCTAAACCCTAAGCTCTGAACCCTGAACCATTTCACCGATACAGAGGAGGCGTCCTGCTCAGAGGGTTTGAGACTCGCTGAGTTCAGGTGGAAGTGGCAAAGATGAAAGAAAACTACCTCAAGGAGCGACAGGGGGGCTGTTGGGGTTCGCTACAAGGATTCCGGTTCAGAAGGGTCTTGGGAGGGTTTTGATTGGGCTTTGAGAGTTTCGGGGGTAAAGGTTCAGTGATCAGGATACGGGGTTTCCACCTAAACCCAAAAAATAAGCCTCTGAGCCCGAAATCCTAAGCACCCTAACCCCTAAACCCTAAGCTGCGTCACCCAAGGATTCATGGTCGTATGTGCCGGCCCCTCATTGGCTACAGCGTGCACAGCGCTGAACTCAACACGGAGAGTATCCAGAATCCTCTACCCGAACCTAATCTTACAGCTGGAGTTCAGGGTTTAGAGTTTAGGGGGTAAGGAGGGGAATCCAAACAACAGCACCGCACACCCGGGTCTTAACTCCCAAACGTTGTAGGATTCTCTACATGATCCTACAAAAAAAGACTTTTATTGCTTGATATATTCGACTCCTCAAGCCAAAACCCCGAACCTTGTGGAACACCTTTGCGCCAAAAGCAAAGGCCAGAACCGTAGGAAGGTACACTCTATGTGGTTCAACTTTCAGGTCTGAACAGTTTGCAATAGTCTACCCTTATTGTCTCTATGTAATTTAGGGTATAAGGTTTATTCAATGTCTAGTCTAGACCAGGCATATGATCTACAGTAGAAATTTTTTTTTAATCTAGATAGATCAAAACCAGCACGTGGTACCAAAGCCCTCATCCCTGTCTTGGGCCGTACTCGAACGGGATGTGGGGTTCAAATACAGTCTATACATGTATGTGCATATACACATAGGTATATAAACAAACAGAGAGATGGATAGAGGGATCACTCAAGTAAGGCCCCATGCAGTTTCGAGCAATATTGGTACTAATATCGGGACGTTACTAACTGCTTATACTATTCTTTCTGTTAGTTAATATGAATACTATAATATCCTCCCCAATACCTTCTTTTATTTGTGACACTAGCACTGAATGATTGCCTCCATAATAGACCTCTGTAGTAACGTTCGCTTATGGGAATCCGTATTGTAAACCTTGCAGGAACCCTTCTAGAACCTTTACAGAACATATAAGAGCATTTAGAGCTCTTTTGCTTTACATTTCCAAAACTCCGGGAGTTCCGATCCCTAAACAACGCACCCCAACCGCAACGCAGCGTAAAGAAGCAGAGTGTTTAGGGGTTTAGGGTTTGGGGTTTCAAGGTGTAGGGTTTAGGGTTTAGTGTTCTAACCCAGCGGCCTGAACATTGGACTGTATTGGTCGACAAAGTTACTTAATGGATCTTAATGGATATACAGCATCGTGTCCTCGGACAGCCTCGTCTGAGTCTCATGATTTCGGCTCTTACATTACGCTAGCTTGTAGACCAGTGTTGGCTTAAAGTCCGGTGTTGTGGAGAGTATATCAAACTCTTTCGGAAGAGTGATGACTATATACTTGGGGCATCCGTATGGAAGTGAACGCCCTACTTCAAGTCCTCGATTTTCGAACCCGCGGCGCCAAACCCGAAGCTCCAGAATCTCATCGCCCTGAGCTGACGAGTACAGAAGCCGCCTGAATAGTTATGAGTTCATACTGCTCGCCCTTAGGGTTCCTGATCACAAAGCCCTATACTGGCCATCTGAGCTTCTTCGGGTTTAGGGATTTTGCTAGGATGTATTGGGGGTATAAGTCGTTTTGGGTGTAGGGATTGGTAGGATTCATTGAAGTACAACTCTCAACCTGCAGTGTGTCCGTACTTTTCGGCAGGAGATTGTCCTACTTCGCCAGCAGCTGGGCTTCAAGAAGCGGGCAGAAGAACGAGGCGGCTCCGCTTCGGCTGAGTTCTTGTTACGGGATTAGGGTGATTAGTTAGGTACTGCCCCCATACAGCAAGAGTCTATAATGGGGCTATCATTAAGATCCTAATATATCTATATTATGAGTATTATTCAACTATTACTGAGTGGGGGCCGTACGAAGTGATTAGGGTTTAGGGTTTAGGGATTTAACTCAAGGTACTTATGGTCCTGACAAAGAACCCAGTCTTGCTGGGCTTTGGTTCCTGGCGTTTTCGGTTTCGGGTTTCGGGAGACCAAATCCTGAAGCATTCCTTATAGTAGCCCTAATAGTAGCCCTTATAGGCCCCTTTAAAGGAAAGGCCCAAACAAAGACACCCTATTCTGATTATTCAGGCCGCCAAACAGTAACCTCCTCCAGTCTCTACCTGGCGATGGCACAGGAGAGTAGCCCTTGTATGTAGCACTTGTAGGCCCCTTTAAAGGAACCCTCGTCTACTTATTAAGAACCATTGTAGTAGCCCTTATAGGCCCCTTTAAAGGAACCCTAGTCTACTAAGGCCCCTTGTAGTAGCCCTTATAGGCCCCCTTTATAAAGGAACCCTAGGTCGAGTTAGTAAGGCCCTGGCACAGGAGAGGATTTCATGGTGGAGGAGGTGACTCACTTGACCGTTGCGGATGAAAAGCCCCCCGAGGCGCCGCGGATTCAGTTCAGGGTGAAGGGTTCCTAGGATGCCCAGTAGTACCCTTATTCCTTTTTTGTAGTCCTAGGTTCCTTATAAAGTTACCCAATACCAAAAAGAGAGGCCTTTTTATTCTTAGGTTACTGGGTATCCTAGGTTCAGACTTTTGGGGTTTAGGGGGTTTAGGGGGTTTAGGGGTCTAGGGGTCTAGGGGTTTAGGGGTTTGGGGGTCTAGGGGTTTAGGGGGTTGAGGGGATTAGGGGTTTAAGGGTTCAGGGTTCAGGGGTTTAGGGGTTCAGGGATTACCGTTTAGGGTTCAAGGGTTCAGGGTTTAAGTTTAGGGTCAGGGTTTATGCTCAGTGTTTAAGTTTAGGGTTTTGGGTTTATGCGGGTTTGGGGAGGGGTACGGGGTTTCGTCAGCTTTAGGTAGATTTATTTGGTCAAGCTTATGGGTCTCAAAGCTAGGTTTAAGATTTATGGTTTAGGGGTTCAGTGTTTAGGCGTTAGGGTTTAGGAGTTAATGTGGGTGTCGGTTTAATAGTGGGGTACCACCCCCCCCCCCCCCACCAAAAAAATAAATTCTATTTAATATGGAGCCGGTGACGCCGGGACAGGGGTCAGGGGTCTGAGTGGCAGGGAATTGGGAGGTGCCGGGGTTTGGGGGCTGGCTTGGGTGCAGGGTCTGCGGTTCTGCGCGAATGCGCGGTCGGGGGTCGGGGGTCTGGGGATCACCAAATGCTGGAAACCAAGCCCCGATCACTCCAAGATTACTACCAGGACTAAAAACCCTTCATTTTGAACACTTTTGCCTCCGTAACCTACACTCCCACACTGACCACGTCTGAAGCTTGGTGCGGTACAATAATAGTACAGTAGTACAATAGTAGTACAGTAGAAATAATACAGTAGTACAATAGTAGTACAATAATAGTGCAGTAGTACAATAGTAGTACAACAGTAGTACAGTGGTAGTACAATAGTAGTACAGTAATAGTACAATAATAGTACAGTAGTACAATAGTAGCACAATAGTAGTGCAGTAGTAGTACAGTAGTAGTACGATAATAGTACCGTAGTACAATAGTAGTACAGTAGTAGTGCAGTAGTAGTACAATAATAGTGCAGTCGTACAATAGTAATTCAACAGTAGTACAGTGGTAGTACAATAGTAGTACAGTAGTAGTACAATAATAGTACAGTAGTACAATAGTAGCTCAGTAGTAGTACAGTAGTAGTACAGTAGTAGTACGATTATACTACCGTAGTACAATAGTAGTACAGTAGTAGTACAATAATAGTGCAGTAGTACAATAGTAATACAACAGTAGTACAGTGGTAGTACAATAGTAGTACAGTAGTAGTACGATAATAGTACAGTAGTACAATAGTAGTACAGTAATAGTACAGTAGTCAATAGTAGTACAGTAGTACACTAGTAGTACAGTAGTAGTACAACAGTAGTACAGTAGTACAGTAGTAATACAGTAATAGTACAGAAAATAAAGCCAGTGAGCACATTCCCCCAATAAGCAAAGCATAAAGCCAGCGCCTGAAACCCTAAACCCTAAACCCTGAACCCTAAAACCTAACAAAGCCTAAACCCTAACGAAT